TTATTTCAAATAGCAAAGTGCAATCCAGTCCCCTTCCACCACCAAGACACGTGGGACTCGTGGGGGACCATGGGAACAGCTCAGGTTAGATTAGCAGTTTGTGACCCTAACATGTCACTGTAGAAGCATCCTGTTTAATTAAAAATAAGGTCCTCCTTCCTCTGAGAGAGATTACTCTCATGATGCCCCTTTCCAGCCCTGGCTATTGCTGCCATTGTCTGGTAACTATAATCTCAAAGACCACATACTAGATGCTGCTTGTAACACAAAGCAATATGATTTTTTTGTTAGTGTTTTTTAAGTACGGGGTATGTCTTGAAGAACCTCCATCCTGTTAATATGTAATACAAGAGGACAAGAAGTAGAAGTGAGCAAAACAAGACCAGGAAGCATCACAGTGGCTGCCAAAGGGCTGTTTGGAGCAGTTGGTTCCGAGGGTCAGATCCTTGCGTCCAAGGTAAAGGACAAGGCCTGAGACAGCCTTGCACAACACACTGCTGCCAAGCCTTAGCCAGAATCAAATGGACAGTGGCAACAGTCAAGCACTCCATTAAGTGGAAAAGATTGATTTCTAATATTCTTGCTGAAGAGAAAAGAAAAAGGCAGAAAACACAAGGGCACAACCCTGTCCTTATGTTTCTTGAAACACATTCTCAGGAATCCAGGGCACCCAACCCAGAAGTAGCATTGAGGAAATTTCCTCAGTACCTGCCAAGTCGCAAAATATTTTTAAATCACTGCCAATTCAAAGCTGTGCCTAATCCGAGTATTCAGTGCTGGGGGCTCGAGCCTTCACAGAGCACAGTTTGAGGTATAGGCACTTTCCAGACTCACAGTTTTCACAAGGGATGGGATATAAGACAGGAATTAGGCAGACTAGCTACTTTAAATATTTTATCTCATTACCAACTTTACACATATTTTATTTATAAATATTTTCAGCCATCTCAAGACCATTTCCTATTCAATCCCCTCTGAATTCATCAAACCAACTGGCTGCTCAGACAATAAAAATACATATATGTTTCATATACAACCAGGAATAGAGGCTTCTGTACTAATGCTACTAGAACAGAAGTAACAAAAAATTTAACTGCAATCCACAAATAAATTGCACAACAGAATTAGACACCAAGGGCTAAAATAATAGCAAAAATATCCCTCCATCCTCCTGAGCAACCCTGAGGATTAAACTGGCCCTGCAGCTAAAGAAAAGGCAGAAATGTGTAGTGCACTAATGCTGTCTTTAATTGCTTCTGCCATCAGAATTAAACCTCCTGCAAATACATTTCAGTGTGACTTTATTCTTGTACTGAAAGCAACAAAAACCCAAGAAATTGAAGTCAGTCATACTGGTTCAGCAAAACCTAGCTGCAAAGAAAAAATCAAACTAAAACCACAGAAAACAAGGTAAAACAAAATGAAATTTTCTTTTTTCCTCATACCACTTCAGAGAGTAACACAGTTATTGCACAGGTAGAGAGCCCCAAATAATGTTTAATACATCTGTCCAAGGCAACAGGATTATCTTCTCCCATGTAAGACTTCTCAAAGATACTGAGAGTAAGGAGAGGGGGGGGAAAAAAAAAAAAAAGACCTTCACACAAATGAAAAAATGAGCAAGCACTATGTCTATTTATACCAAGAAATATAGTTATCCAAGCAATAAAAAAACTAAAAGAGCAAGAGAGAGCAAAAAAAAATCATTCTAACATTCAAGTTCACACACTACTTGCAGTAAAATTACTCCGTATGTGCAGCTTTTTCACTTTTGACACACACAATTTACTTACTCAAGACTGCAGGTTGACGTACAAAAACTTCAGCTATTCACTGTAAACTTGAGGGAACACTTCATCCACATAATGGAGACCAAAAATCCACATGCATATCTTTAATTTCTTTACCTAAATGTCCAAAACAGGCGGTCATCTTCTGGGCATACTGACACAACCCATTCTCACTGCACAGTTCCTCACCAAGGACCTGTTCACTCATTGCTTCGGAAGGAGCCGCCTTTCTCTGCTAAGTCAACCAACTACTGCTTGCTCGAGACTGATAAGACAACAGAGCTTCCTCTTCCAATTTATCTCCATTAATAATTCAGGTACTACATAAATTTTGCTGAGCTTTAAAAAACGGTAGTGCAAAGCTACTTTGTGGCTTTTGAAGTAATCATGTTTTAGTCCTTAAAAAGTATCTCAGCTTGTTTTATTCCAATAGTTCACATAAAATATTTTCAAATTGCTACAAAATCCATTCTTTTGCTGCACAAGGGGAAATATTGTTGGGATTATGCTCAGATCAGTGAGATATTTAAAATATTCACCCAGCTCAAGCCCAGAAAGAGAATTACCACCATTACTGAAATGTGTTATAACACACTCCAGCAGGCAGACCCGTCTACCGCTATAAAAAGCATCACCA